CATCAACTTGGGAAAATCGGCTCCCAAACTATGAGAGGGTGCAGGCCAGGCTGAGAGACTGTCCTCTCCCGAGTGTACGAATTTTGTGCACCGGGCCTCTACCATTATATAAATATTGTCACTCCACAAAACAAATACATTCTCCAAAATAGATGTTATTAATCTAATTTAGAAATTGCAGAGTTGAAAATGATATTGGAAAATAACAATAATAAGAATTTAAAAAGAAACACCACAGAGGTAAGTAGTTTATTTTCAGTTTTGTCTTGAATATCTTGAAGTTTTAGAAGAAATCAGCTGGATCCTAAAATATTTCAAGGATGCTTCTATTCTTGACCTTTCCTTAGTATAAGAATCAAAAGACAGTACCATATAAATTATAAGATCAAGCTCCATTATGACCAGTGATGGTTTACTTTGTAGATAGGCAGGTAGTATATCATTAATAGGCCATAAAGGATGAAGTCATGGAAAATGACGACCGTGAGCCAAATGGCATTTCCTACCTTACAGGTCATGGATGGCCAGTCAGAGACTTGATCTCATTATCCCAGAGCAATATTTCAGCTACAGCACTCTCATTTTTATGTTACCATTAAGATTATAAATTGTTAATATTATTTTTTCCTGTTAAGCAACTTCAATGTACAATAGCCCACTGTAGTACATATACTACATGAAGATTACACCGAAGCATGTGAGCAAACAGCAGCCAAAGATAGAAACAGTATCTAAACATAAGGCAAAGCCCCCTGAAAATACAGCTGCCATTGAGCCCCTCAGAGGGAGGGAGGCACTTTCCCCGGGGTGCATATTCAGTGGCCATCCATCTCCCTCTTGTGGTGCTCCCAGCTAGAAAGGATACTGCATATTAGCATCAGGAGGAAAAGGCCTGTGGAGCTGCCTCTACTTTCCTACAAAGCCCTAAAACCATGTCCTTTTGTTCATCTGGTATATTCCCTGATCCTGGCTGCTCAGGGAATCGCTCCTCGAACAGTGCCTCTGTAAGCATGCGAAATATAATACACTTTTCTCCAGTTAATCTGGAGGCTGTTTGCTAATCCAGAGGCCCCCCAACGAAAAGCTTTGCTCCCAATGGAACCTTAGCTGGAAGAGGTCAGCATGAGATTTTAAACTAAATATTTAGGACAAAGAAATGATGAGCGCTTTTGAGATTGAAGATGGGGATTGGGGTAGGAGGACATAGGAGTGCAATATTGCACCTCAAACACTACCCAACTGATATCCACAGGCTGGCAGAGCCTTGGTGTTGACATGGCCACTCCCACTTAAAGCAAAAATACCTAAGTAAAGCAAAGACAAAAACAAACAAACAAAAAACCCCCCACAAAAACAAACAAACAAAAAACTACCTACCTAATTTTTTGCTCAGAAGAAATATTTTTTTTAAAATTTAGTGTGAATTGCTTGAAGTATTAAAATGTACCTCCTTTCTGAATCTTCTAATGAAAATTAGTAAGAGCTTTTAAGGTTATGTAATACTAGAGGCATGGTGCACAAAAAAATATCGTGCACATAGGGGGTCCCTCAGCCCAGCTTCCATCCTCCAACAATCTGGGACCCCTCAGGTAGGGTCCCTAGGCCTGGCCTGAGATCAGGGCCTATCGGGGCTTTCCTTCCCTGGGCTGCTGGCAGATGGTCCCACCCCTGCCACTGCCACTGCTTGCCATCTGTGCAGCGCTGCCCTCCCTCCCCCCAACCCCCTTGCCATGGATGGCCTCCCTCTGCAGGTGACAGGCTGGGGTGCAATGGCTTGGCTGGCCTGGGCCTCCCTCTTCCTTTGCTGGTGGGTGGGTCAGGCTTGTGAGGGGCCATCTGCCTACCTGATTACCCTAACTGCTGGTCTGCTTACCTGATCACCCCTAACCACTCTGCCTGCCTGCCTGCCTGATTGCCCCTACCCCCTTACTTGGGTGAGCAGCTGTCTGCCTACCTGATCACCCCTAACCTCTGGTCTGCCTACCTGATCACTCCTAACTGATGGTCTGCCTATCTGATCATCCCTAACTTCTCTGCCTGCCTGCCTTATTGGACCTTACTGCTTGCTGTGGTTAGCCTACAGTTGTTACTGGTCATTACAACCCAGGGTTTTTATATATTAGGATTCTATTGTTACAGGGTAAAATGTAAAATTAAAAGGTAACAATAGAAAGGTAAGTGTTATGACAGAGACACTTTCCTGAACTATAACTTCAAAGTCTTGAAAATAACCAATCAGGTCCTTAATGAAGTATGATAATCATGAGGATATGAATAGGAAAGCAAGACAGCATTTTTCAAAATGCCTTGAGAATAAAAATGCACAGCCTAGCTGATTAACTATCCAAGAGGCAAGGACATCCTCTGAAGTTCAAATTCATTCAATTTAGTTCTCTGCTCTCTTTTACATTAAAGCCAAAAATGAATATTAAGCATTTTTATTAACTCTGACCCTCATTTTTAAAACACTAAAACCTGCTAGTGCAAAATGCTTCTAAATGTAGTGATATTTATTTTCCCGTGTGTGCATAAAGGCTATGCAGATAAAGTTATAACATGCTTAATAAATTACATAAACCTTATAATTTTTGCAATAAGTTGTGAATTTATATTTCTAACCACTAAAATTAAGAACTATGAGTATTCTCAAATAGTTGTGGAAGTGATCATTTGCACACTTAGTGCAAACTAATTTTATAGGACAGATGCTATTCCCAATATGAAAGACCAGTGACAAAGAGAATATGGGAGATGGAACAGACATTCTGTGTTTCTATAAGAGCCAAATGTCTTGCCTCTCGAGGTCTTACATGGCTTGGTTTCATCCTCCTGAATTGTTTCTAACCTTTAGACTTGTTTCCCTCTTCACAACTATTTTTTTAGATTCTAAAAATCAGAAAGTGTTTTAAAAATATTTCTACTAATTTTTAATATTTTAAATATGTAAATATCTTTAAATAATATTAAATGTTTAAATAGTTAAAAATATTTTGAAAACATTTCTAGTTTAAGCTTTATCGGTAATTATTAGGTGTTAGGATCACTGAAGGAGGAATGCACGAGGCTGAAAGGGGTAAAGAATTATGTATTTATTAGAGCATCTGGGAAACCAGATGGGATGAGCCCCCAAATGGCACCAGAACCTAGGTACAGGGAGTCAGAGATTTCAAAGGACTCTAGGTGGGCTTTTTCTGGGCAGAGAATTCTCTGGGTGGGTCTGGAGGAGAAAGGTAATGAATGGTCTTAGCAAGTGGGATGTGGTCTAAGTGAAAGGAAATGTCTATTGTGAAGTGGTTTAAGGCAGTTCCTGGAGGGCAGGAGGGTTATCAGTTCAATTATTTGCATTGAATTCTTTGACCAGACCTAACACTGGGGAACAATAAGAAGTAGATAAGATTTGAGATTTATAATATTGCTGAGAATATGAATCTGATGAAAATAGACATCCTTAAACTGCCTATTAATGCAATGGATTTTCAGGAGGGAAAATCAGTTCCTTTGAGAAGGTTGGGATTAAAGAGGTTAAGCATTCAGGTAAACAAAGTGTGTGAAAGGTTTCATAGGCAGAAAAGTAAAAGAAGAAGAGAAGAGATGGAGAAGAGAAGAGATCCTGATTTAAGACCCCTGCATGGTAGCAGGGAAGCTGCTTAGCTCAGCCCAACAGGAGCATCTTCTCAATAATTGTGTTCAGTTTGGGGAGAAAAGTGCCTTCTGCTCCACTCAATCTCGGCCCAACAATTTTTATTTCCTTATTTATAAAAATTACTGTGATAGAAGTTAGCCAAGAACTAATCATAAAATTACTAAATTGAATTCCAAATGTTAACGCCTTTTATATAGTCATCTTATATAACAAAGAGTTAATACCCTCATGCCCTAACAACTAATTAGCAGGAGGCTGTGTCCTACGCCAGTGCCAGTCAGGAACGTGACTGACGCTGCATCCCTGCCCATCGCTAGCTGGGGACATGATGTGCCAGCAGGGCTTGACGGGAGTGGGGTCTGCCAGGTCTGGTTCTCACCCAATGGGGATGGGGCAGGCTGGGTCTGGGTCTCTTGTGATTTCAAGGCACATGTGGATGGGCAGTCACTTGACTTTGGGTCCTATAGCATGCCCCAGACTCTGACAGGAGGAAAGAGGGAGCTGGATACCCACACCAAGGACTCACACAACAGGGTTTCGGCAGTTAGGGGAAATCAGGCTGCCAGGGGAGAGCAGTTAGAGGTGATTAGTCCAGCAGGAGAGCAGTTAGGGGTATCAAGCTGGCAGGGGAAGGCAATTAGGAGTGATCAGGCCAGCAGGGGAGCAGTTAGGAGTATCAGATTGAAAGGCAAAGGCAGTTAGGGGGGATCAGGCAGGCAGTCGGTGAGCAGTTAGGAACCAGTGGTCCCAGATTGTGAGAGGGATCTCTGACTGCCAGTTTTGGCCCGATTATAGTCAAACATCCCCTGAGGGGTCTGGGTTTGAGAAGGTGCAGGCCAGGCTGAGGGACTGATTCCCCATCCCTGTGCATGAATTTTATGCACCGGGACTCTAGTCCTATATAATAAAAGGGTAATATATAAATTGACCAAACAGTGGAATGACCAGAATGTCCATGGCCCCTTGCACCAGTCAGTCCACCCCTGATGGTGCCCATCAGGTGGGCCAGATGGACCCTACCAGTGTAAAAATTCGTGCATCAGGCCTCTAGTTAAAGGAAAAAAAATACAATAATTACATGTGTTTTAAATGTGACAACTTAGGAAAGGGATTTAAATTTTTAAATATTTAAAAAACGGTATTCTTGAGTCTGCCAGTAACTTGCCCTGTGACCTTATTTGCTGATCTTCAGTTATTTCATCAATAAAATGACAGTATCAAATGACATGATGACTAAGATTCCTTTGTACCCTAAAATGCTATTAAACACCTTTCCAGCCATTAGACAATCTAGTGTGATTTTTAAATTCTTCTGTGAGATGTTGAATGATAGCTTTTGAAAAAAAAAAATACTTACATTTTGGCCCACTTATCTAGTTCTTCTTCCAGATACGTTTTAACCATTTTTGGTTGAAGGCCAAGAGAATTTCCCAATAAATAGACGGCATTTTCATCCTTATTCACTAATGATAAATCAACTGGAATAGAAGAAAATGTACAAAATGTTTAATAAATTAATTCATATTCTTCCATTTGGCATTGCTAATCCAGTGCAAACAGTAAATACGATTAACTTCAAGAAGGACAATAAATAATAGCCAGTTTGGCTCAGTGCATAGAGTATCCTGAAGAGTCTGGGGTTCAGTTCTGGTCAAAGGCATGTACCTAGGTAGCAGGCTCAATACCCAGCCCTGGTTGGGCTTCTGCAGGAGACAACCAATTAATGTGTCTCCCTCATATCAAAATTTCTCTCTGTCTTTCTCCCTCCTTTCCACTCTCTCTAAAAATTAATGGGAAAATATCCTTGGGTGAAGATTAACAAAAATACATACATACATACATAACTTTAATTCTTCCCAAGGATAACATCAGATTTTGTAAAAAAAACAAACAAAAAAACCCAAAAATGATATTTCCATCTATATTTTAAAATAATTACACCTATAGAATCATTTCTTGAGGTCTTTCATTTATATTTTGCTCCATGAGAAAATCAATTACTTCCAACCATAAATACCCAAAGGAATTAGAAAAGTTTTAAAAACAGTATTTTTAGAGGAAGTATGTCAGCCTATCCAGTCAGAGTGAAAAGTTAAAGAATTCAGGCAAGTACTAACCCTCTGTATTAATTAATGTTATAGATATGCCAAATTAAAAAAAATGAATTGATGACATATATCAATACAATGAAGTAGATATATTGTATGGTTACATTTTTTTTTCCATTCTCTGTTACTATACACATATGTTAGTACATATAGAGGCAAAGGTTATTCTCTATATCTACTTCTTATTCAAATAAATCAGAACTTTAGTGATTTGTCTGTATTATAAGTCTCCCTTGACTGAAACAAATGCAGTTTCACTAGCAAACTAATCCATGTGCTTAAACTATAACCTAGAAATGTACAAGTTTGTAATTGTGTTCTACTAAATTTTTTTCTTAATTCTATGTGGAAAAAACAGTACCTTCTGGCTAATAATTCATTTGCATCATTTGGCAATATATTTGTCTTTACTTTAGAATACCTAATTAAACCTCTCCAGACTTCTTAAGACATATCATCTATTACATCCTGATCACTTCTATAGATATTGTGCCTCTCTTTCACAGTCACCTCTTAAGCCTGACCCAGTGAAAAAACTGTAACTATTGTTTCACACATTTAAATTGGATTCATTAGCAGTTCTTTGTTGACCTAGAGAACAAATATTGTAAGAATTTATTTATAATTCAAGGGTATTAAATTTGTGTATTATGGGTCAAATTTCAACTAAGAACTCAAATAAGTGCTTAATAAAGACAGAACATGTCCTGTGTGTGTCAGCCCCATGACTAATCAAAGCTGAGGAGGCAACAACTCAGATTTCTATCCCCATTGTATGAGTTTTCTTCTTTCATTGTTGATGCTTTTACAGACAAATAGGTAGTGGGTTGCTTTTATTTAGAAAGTCATTTTTAAAGTGTGCTAAATGTGAAAGAAAAACATAATTATAAACCAAATCATCTTGCCTCTCATGTCAACCCAAAATATGTTTCATTGTGTATTAGCCTTATCTTTCTCAAACTTCTGCTCTTCAAACAAATTTTACTTAAGACTCATTCCTCCACATAAGTGATATCTCCTGCAGGTCCCACACTTGTAGGTATAGATTGTTTCTTCTCTCTCTCTCTCTCTCTCTCTCTCTCTCTCTCTCTCTCTCTCTCTCTCTCTCTCATACACACAAACACAGTACTGCCAGAATGGCTGGTTTTCTTAGAGAAAATAAAGTTAGCAATGTAGCAAAGTGAGGATAGTTGACACCATAATATAGACCTACTGTACAACCACACCTCTCTCCCACTGTCCCATCAGTAACTATAAGAAACAAAAGCTACGATAGCTTGATAAGGGAGGAGATACAGAAATCAAATGATAGCAATAATCTTTGAAGGTATTGACATAGCTGCTGTACAAAGAATCCATCAAACATGTAAATATTATGTTTCCTAATCAAAGTTATCGCCCTTTCCCCCTTCTCTCCCTTTTACTCTTTACTCTTTATCACAACTCAGCAACTCTTTCTATATATTATATACAAGGGGAAAGGAAAATAAGTTGAACATTGCATTCCCAAATTGTGATAGGCTTCCCTACCTTCCAATTAATGGATTCTTTATGTGTTCCCTGAATGTCTGTTCTGCATTTGTGCCAACAGGAGCCATTGGTTGGGATACCAATTATCTGCTAGACCGTGACTCATTGCTTCCCATCCTTAAGAGTGTCATGTCAATTGTTACTGACTGTCACACCCATCATTACTGATCATCACCTGCTATTCTTTTATAGTTAGAATCTGAGTCTAGAGTCTTCTGGGAAACAGCCCTGACAATTTGACCTCTAGATGAGAACATACTTCTTACTGTTTCAGGGCCAGGGCAAGGTATTTACAGAACTAAATACTTTGTGGGCTTGGTTGGATGGTTTATTCACAATGTGCTCATGGCCTTGGGAGAATTCCCTTTACAAAAACATTCACTCTTTGTTCCAAAGTCAAGTCTGTACTGACATCAACCAGTCACTCTTGTTCTTCAGGATTTTTGCTGTCTGTTGGCAAATTTTTAACATATTGATTTTGTATTCTCCCAAAATATATACAGTGGAACCTTGTTTCTCCAACTTAATTTGACTGTTAGTCAAGTATCTTCTTTCAATCCTCATTGATCTGGGGATAGCTTCCTGTTATTTACTATCTGTATTAGTTTGCTAGGTATTTTGTAACAAAGTTCAACAAACTGGGTTATTAAAAGGCTGTTTGAAATGGAATATTTTTTCCATTAGAAATAATGTAAATTGAATTAATCCATTCTAGACTTCCAAATGATTCCCTGTTTTAACCTTTCTTATATATACTACATTTCTACTGTACTCTTTAACATATAAATAAAGACTTTTGAAACAAAAAGGGCATGGAATGTAAATGAAAGTTTAACAAAAAGGAAAGAAAGTGTACTGTAAAAACTGAAAATTTTACAATAATTATAAGCTGCAACAATAGTAAAAAAGCCACAAAAAATATTCATAGCACAATATCCTGAGATTTTAATAGTGGTAAACTAACTCATATTTGTGAATTCTCTCCTTTGTTTGTCACCTGAGAAGTCTATGACTCATCATACAAGTATCAGCATGAAAGGGTTGTTAGGTTGTGAAGTGAATTGCTCCAGATGGAAGACGTCTGAGGAACAAAATTTCCACTGTATTTTATCAATTATGACTCAATGTTTCTTTTCTTTGAAGTAGGAGTTGACAATTTGGGCATGAGTTCTTGTAATTTCTCAAGAACCCTTTTTGTTTTCTCGCCCACTTCCTTTAAAGGCCTATTCACAAAGGACATGCAGCTTACTGCAAACTCTCCCTTTAAAAACCAAATCTCTGTTTGATTAACATGTCATTTTGATGGGTTATAACTCTTCTTTTAATGTCTTTACTTATTTTACTTGTGAAGCTCTTCCTCCTTTGGCTTTATGTCCATCTAATGTTTGGGATGAAGTAAATAAGGGTTTCATTTCTCTCCTCTGAATCCATATTAATCCTGTCCAGATTTACTGGTACTCTAAAAAATTGTGATATGTGATTTTGTGTTTGTTTTATTGATTTTTAGAGACAAAGAAGAAGGGTGAGAGAGGAAAAAAAATACAGCCATTTGTTGTTCCACTTACTTATGCATTCATTGATTGATGCTTGTATGTGCCCTGTCTAGAGATCGAACCTATAATCTTGGTGTATCAAGATGACACTCTTACAAGCTGACCTACCCAGCCAGGGCTTGATTTTGTGTTTAAGTTAGATAATATGCTACATTTGCTCTGTTGGACTAAATAGGCACAACACCCAAATAATGATTTTTAAGGTAGACCAAACAAAGCCTTTTCTGTTAAAAACCAGAAAGCAAACATTTTAGGCTTTGTGGAACTTACAATTCCTGCTGCAAAGACTTGTTTCTATCATGGTGGCATAAAAATGGCCATAGAAAAATATGTAAATAAATAAATGTGGATGTGTTCTCATTAAACCTTATTATTTGAAAAAAATATATTTGCCGACCCTTTTCCTAAGGTCATTCTCCAAATTCTGGCACAGATTGGACATGCTGCAAGAGTTCATGAATTTCCTATGTCAGTCAAGTCTCTATCTTTTTTTTTTTTTTCTTTTTTAATATATTTTATTGAAGTTTTACAGAGAGAAAGGGAGAGAGATAGAGCGCTAAAAATGTCTATGGGAGAGAAACATCGACCAGCTGCCTCTTGCACAGCCCCCACCGGGGATGTACCCTCAACCAATTTACATGCCTTTGACCGGAATGGAACCCAGGACCTTTCAGTCCACAGACTGACGCTCTACCGCTGAGCCAAACAGGTTTCGGCAAGTCTCTATCTTTTTTCAATCCTCCTTGACCTGGGATAATTTCCTGTTATTCACCATCTGTATTATTAATAGTTTGCTAGTTGTTTTGTACAAAGTTCAATAAACTCGGTTATTAACCAACAGAAATTTATTATCTCAGCATTCTGGAGGCTGTAAGTCCAAAATCAAGGTGTTGGGAGGATTTGTTCTCTCTGAAGGCTGTGAGGGAAGGATCTGTTATAGGCTGCTCTACTTGACTTCTTTATGTTCACCAATGTTCTCCCTGCATGTCTCAACATTTCCCCCTTTTATAAGTCATATCGCATGAGAGCGACCCTCATAGCCTCATTTTAACCTGATGTATCTTAAAGACTCCATCTCCTTTTGAGGTCACATTCTGTGGTTCTAGGGGTTAGGACTTCAAAACATAAAGTTTTTAGGGAACTCAGTTCAACCAATAACACACTCCTTAATGGTTTATTTGATCTCAAAAGGTCTAAGAACGCTAAGAACTCAAGAGTGTTAGCTTTCCATAAATAGGCCTCACCTTAATTAGGCCTTAAGTCTTAGAGGCATCTGGCTGGAGGCCT